ATTTTAGGTATTGAATTGATTCATAGAACATGTATGCCAGACCCTATCCTGACTTTTTGAAGCTAGTAGAGGAATTAATGTAAAGTTTCTTCTTATTCAGATATGGAAATTATACATCATATAATTAATTGCAAGAAAAGAATATAGTAAGTGAGATATCTGCATTGAGCCTGCATTATTTATTTTACAGATCATGCATATAATTACAAAGATTCTTTGGATTAGAATGTGTATTACTTGGAGAAAAGGTTACTTTTTCATGCTATAATAAATTTAATCTCTTTTTGCATAGTAGGGCAAATTCAGAATCAGAATTCAGAAACCAGAATCAGCTAACAGGAATTTTCTCTCTGCTTTTTCTATCATATACGATAGGTTGTCTCATGAAAATAATGATAATTAAAATGTGGTGTATTAAATTAAACTGGTATGTTGTTGTATAAAATCTGTATGAAAAGCATATATGTAGTACCATTTAAATTTAGATTGTTTGATATTCTCTGGGCAATGTCCCTTAACTTCCTTCACTGTCTATTCTTCACTTTTTGTTCTTCTACTGTATGTTAACAAGCATATTCATGTAATCTTTCTGTACTGATTAAGTTATCTGTTGTTCTGAACAAAGTGTAGAGCCCCATTTGTTGATCCATCAGGTCCATTTCAACCACTTCAGCTCTGACTGGAAGATTAGTGGATCCCTAGCAGACTTCAATAAGGCAGTGTGTATCATAAAATTGGGAAAAAATGATCATAAAAATCTTGAGCATAAAAATCTTCACTCCTGAGCAATATCTTTATTTCTAAGAAAAGGGGAAATTACTTCATTGCACTATTTGAAGAAAAAAATGATTAAAATCTCCTATATAAAGTACAAAGCTATTCCTATGTTTTTGAGCTATACCTAATTTGTGCTTTATTATTTGAGCTATACCTAATTTGTGCTTTATTAACACAAAAATTAAAAAGCATGGTGGCTCATTAGAACATTGGATTGCAGGTTAGCAAGACCACATTTGAGACCCTAGTGCTATTGTGGGCACTAGTTGAGCTCTCATCCTTTGCTCCAGCTCCTGCAGGGGGCATGAAAAAGCCCCCAACTGGACATCGCCTGGGCAACGGTGATGTCACCACCTAATCTTTTCAACCCAGAAGTGGCTCCATGCTTTTGACATGAGCGCAAAAGGCAAAAAGTAGAAATTGGGGACTTACTTTGATAAAATAAGATTACAAAGATTATGGGAAACAATTTGTGCATGACTGATCATACTGAAAAAAAGAAAGAAAATTATATTCCCTGATTTCTTTCAGAAATAAAATGGAAGATGCTGATACATTATTGGAACACCTCAATTAAATAAAAAAGCTTCAGTATATCATTATTTAATATATCTATTATTATCCATTGTTTCTTTTTTTGTATTTTTCTCTATTTACTGTGGTGATGAAAATAAATAACAAGATATTGATTAGTAGACTTATTAAAAACAGATGGACAAATTATCAGATATTGGTAGAAAGACAGTACATAGCTTGTACTCTAATGTGCATAGGCTTTGGGGGAGTGGCAAATGATGAAATATGGATTGTGATGTCACGAAACATGATATCATGATGCAAATATGAAAGATGGAAAACTTGTGCTGTAATAATTTAACATACATTTGATCATTTTGACATCATACTGATTAGGAAAACATGCCAATGATTACTTGACAAGATATAATGTATATTAAAAGAAGTGAAAATGTCTTTTGATTGATTCTGCCCACTTTGTTATATGAAAGTGAAGATTGTGTACGATAGTATAAACAAAAAAATAACCTGAACCTGGAATGGGGTGTATGTAGTAAAATAAAGAAATTAAGAAATGTATTAAAAAGATAGGGTGGAGAATGATTGATGCACGAATGTAGATTTAATTCAAATGTGAGATCAAAAGTCACACAGAACGAATGAGGACCAAATTACAAAAAATGTACAAAGAAGTAGTTCATAAAGAAAGAGGACAGAAGGGCAATCTAGAAGGAAGTTATACTCAGATGGAGCATAGAAAGAAAGAAAAGTAACAAAGAGAAATGTACAAAATGGTTGTATGGGCAAGATGAAAGTGAACAAGGGCACTATTAATAAGTCAAGAGTGGCCATAACCACATGACTGAAGTCCACATATATTTTCTACTTGCATTGTGATATATATAAAAAGGGATGCTGACTCCTTGACTTTTTTAACCTCTCCCTATGGGTATCCCTGTAAGGAAGATAGATGCAAGTTATGGTGAATATACTAAACAGTATCAGTATAGACCCGTGATGGCAAACCTATGACATGTATGTCACAGGTGGCACGCAGTGCCCTCTCTGCGAGCACGCGAGCTGCACCCCAGTTCAGCTCCGCCGTGCATGCACACGCCTCCCAACAGCCAGCTGGTCATCAGGTCTCTGCCGTGCATGCGCGGGGGGCGGGACATGAGGGCCCCCGGGATGTGCATGCATGGGGTGGGGCACATGCAGGGAGCCACACGCACATGCACGCTTTCGGCACTCAGTCCGGAAAAGGTTAGCCATCACTGGTATAGACTGTGTTTAGCTAGATTTCCCTTTTTAAAAAATCTCCTGCCTATAATTTCTTTAGTTCACTATTTCTCTGTCTTTGCCTTCACTTCTCACAATTCTAGTTATGTATTTATGTATATCTGTAACAGTATAATGATACTATAACAGCATATGTTATCAATAAATATGTGAAATATCAGTATTATATTGTTTTTCTTTGCCATATTGCTTTTCTTTAGCAAAGAAAAGCAAAACATTGCTTACCTTCATCCCTAGTATTTCTTATTCATTTATATTTATATATTGCATTTAGAAACCACTAATCTCACTCACAGAGTAAACCTGGGCAGTGTACAAATAGGTATAAAAATCTATATATAAATATTATAGGAGAGGGCAGTTGAAAACAAGAATAAAATAATTAAAAAAAAAAAGCTAGGGAGCAACTTCAGGGCACTAACCAGCCCAATGGCTGTATGCTCCTCTGCAGGCCATAGGTGAATAGGCAGTCTTCAGATATTTCTAAACCACCAGGAGACTGGGGATCTTCTTCATATCTGCGGGAAAATGTTCCAAAGGACAGGGATAACGATGGAGAAGATTCTTTTCCTAGACCCCACCAGTCAGAATTCTTTAATTGATGCGGTCTGCAGCATTTATGTTTAAATTATACTTAAATTTGCTTTGTAAATGATAAGCTCAGTACTATGTGTTAATATAAGGAAAGGGGGTAAAAGCAAATAATAGATAAGGCAGGAATAGAATGATCAGTGTTGACCTACAACATGTATGGCAATAACATTTTTTTTTCTACATTTGGCATTCTTGCAGCCCAGATGTAATAGTCCTGAATAGAAATAAAATTTTAATTTGCGTAATGTACAGAAAACAGCCGTATATATTGTTATCATTAAAATAACTACTACGTTGCCACAAACGTATCTTTACAGTATTGAGTACTAAGGTTTGTAGCTCCAAACTAGGCAGCTACTTTCACTTTTTTCTTATTATAGAAAGTGGAGCTTTAGGGTAACAGCAGGCATTTTAACTGTTGCAATATGGCACGCAATAATCTCATTTATATGCCATATCAGTCTTTATCATTTGTGAATACAGACTTTGGGAAGAATTGTAGCCTAGACTATTATATGGAGAATGGGTAGATATTGTCACAAAAATATTGTCACAAAATATAATAAAACTGATTAACTTCTGGGATATACATAAGTGTGGGTGTTTGTACATAAAAATGAATAGCTTTTAAAGGGGTTTTAAAAATAAATTGAGTAAATTGTATGGAAAATTCCAGAGAGCTAGGCTGTGGAATGTTGTACTACCGTAGCTATTCTCAAATTTCCTAAGAAAAGACTAGAAGAATCATAATAGTGAATGAGCACACAAGCTTGTGGAAATTTTGAATGTTTGTTCTCCTCAATTGGTGTCTGATTTTTGAAGTAATTGCTATTTTTGAAATGAAATACTATGGGATTTCTATTTGTTCACAGACAGGAATTCCCAGAACTGAGGGTACTAATTTTTTTTTTCTCTGTGCTTTCCATTATTCATATCCACCAGTGAGCTACAACTTATGATCTAGTAGAATTAACACTAGGCATATTGGCAGTATGTCAATGTTAATTCAATATGACTTATCCCAAGATATGAATGTCTATTGCTCTCCTTCTACCAAAACTTCAGCAGAGGGGTAGAGGTCACAACTCCCAGCATGAATATCCAAATTAAAGTTCTGAAAATTGCACCTCAACACATCTGGGAAATACCAAGCTGGGTGATGCAGTCTATTAGTCTCAAGTACTGAATTCCACCTGTTTGTTACAGGATACTAACTTTGCCTTCCTATTAAAGTTAAGCTTTATGTTGAAATATGTTTCTTTGCTGAGAGCACCTCTATAAATAATTCACTGCCCTGCCCGTAAACAAAAATAATATAAAGTAAAGACATTACGGTGCAGAAAAACAGTTCTCGCAGTTTTGGTTTCAGTGTATCTGTAGGTATTTCACTATTCCGGCAACAACTTGGGAAAACATGAAGTCTTCTGGAAAATAGAAACTATCTCCTTAGGTGTTGAATTGACAGGAAAGCACTCACACGACTATAATGACAGGGTTATGTGGGGGGAAAAAATAATCGGAGCCGAAAATTATTAGATTTTCACCATCAAATCAACAGAAAAACTGTAGAAGGGGAGATATACGTTGTTTATTTTGAAAAAGTTGCGCACGTCTCACCTTTTTCTCCTTTTGGAACTTACGGTCCTCTCCCCCCCCCTCACTTTTCCAAGCGACTTTTTAAAAAGTCACTAGGAGAACTTGCGCTGCTCAGTTCTGCCCCCCTTCCGTCTCTTCCGATCTGTCCCACTCCTGGTCCGCCCCACCCCCCGGGATGTGCGTGCTCGCGCGTGCCTCTTCCTCCCCCGCAGCACATTTTTGCAGGACGGGGGCTCTTCCAGTCTTTCCTTGGAGTAGCGGGGTGGCACGGAGAGGGTTAACGCTCAGGAATGCACCCGCCAGGAATGTGCATGCAGATGAGATGGATGCTAATCTCATGCTAATGAGTGGCTGCCGCCGCCGCTCGGGACTGAGCCGGTTCTCCCCCTCCCCCCGGAACATAAGCAGCGCCTCGTCTTAGCCTGGACCCCCTGACCCCCTGCTGCCAATACGGAATAAGGCCCGAAGGCGGAGGCTCCGTTCAGACATGGTGGACTGAAACTCAGGAGAGTTTCCTGGCCCATTGCACGATTCTGCTTCCCTCCACCCGCCCAGAGCTCCAGGGGAAGGAGGGGGCGTCTTTTCCCGCTTCCCTCCTTTTCTTTCTTGTTTGCTGTCCCTATGGAGCAGCTATACCCCGACTTCGACCATGCCTAGAAAAATGGGGAATGGGCAATTGCCCTTACCCGACGGCTGGGAGGAGGCGAGGGATTACGATGGGAAAGTCTTCTACATCGACCACAACACCAAGCAGACCAGCTGGATCGACCCTAGAGACAGGTGGGTGTAGATCGCCTCTCCAAATCCCAGTGCGCGAAGAGGAGGGGGTTGAACCAGGGGGGGAGGGGGAAATTGGCGTCAGGCGCATTTGTCCTCCTAAGGAGGAGTTGAGTTTGTTTCCCCCCCCACCTCTCTAGTCCCCTCCCCGGTGTAAGGGAGAGTCTCACATAGTTACATAATAAAGATAGTGATAACAACAACAACAACAACCTGCTCTTGAAGAAAGGGGAAGTGTTCCCTTCCGCCCCAGCATTATCTTGGAAGGAGAGGAGGGTGGTAGCGTGCAAGTTTGTGTATTTCTGGCATGCGTTGTCTGGCAAGGGTGTGTATTGGAGACAGAGAGGGAAAGTGTATTGGAGGGTGCAAAGTGAGAAAGAGAGTCGTAATAAAAGGCAAGAACTCTGGTGAACATTCTCTTTCTTGTGACTGGAACCAAACACCGATCAATTTGTCGATCCAGATTTTATTTAATGAGTATGTGTTGAAATGTTTCTCATCAGACTATGATTTGCCTATAGAACTGAAACAAGTTCTCTCTTTTTATAAAACTCCTAAGTGAAGTTATGGGATTTTAAAAAACAGGTTCTGATTTTTTTTTTTAAAGAATATTTAATTTTCATAGAAGCCCTTGCAATATTTCTCTGTGGCTATTAAAAGAATTGGGTCAAGTTAGAGGAGTTTTAAACATAGTTTTCTCTTTACATACTACAGCACAAAGAAAAAAGATGCTGGATCTCCAGAGATATTGGTATTCTGGGTTTTGAAAATGTGGTTAGAATAGAAACCATCTCCCTGGTGAAAAGGTAAAATATATTTAACAAATCATCTAGGTACACAATTAAAAGGGTGAAATTAGTAGGCCATTTGCTCATCTATTTTTGGAATTGAAGATTTCAACTGTAATGGGTTTTAACATTTTTATTTTTCTGAAAACCTGGCTTATTCCAGACAAAAGCATGTTGCCTTGTTCTGAGTCTCAGATTTGTACCACCTCATCCTTTTCAAGGTGAAGCCCTTGTAATGAAATTGAGAGAAGGCTAATCAGGCCTGGCACTTGAGTTCTTAGAAGTAGGCCTCAACTGAATCCTTTTCTCTCTTCTGGTCTCCCCAGATTATAAAAAGAGAGATTTATTAAAATAAGAGAGGAAGTTTAAACATTTCTTTAAAAATAGAGGGGAAAGTCTATATTAATTTTACAATAGAATGCCTCATATTTAATACTTTTTATGAAGAAAGTAATTTTCTTTTAATTGCTACCACCAAATTAAGTGATACTGAAATCTAAGAGATTACTTAAATTAAGGAAAATTGTTCTAGTATATACTATAATATTCAGTAAAATACATAATTCTTCTCTCACTTTTCAGACTTACGTGCTGCTTATCTTTATTAAACTAATAAAATCCAGTATCGTTTAACTAATAAAAGCCATTAGAAATTTATGTCACAAACCATGCTGAATGATTAATGAAGGACTTGTTTTAACTTTCCTGGTTGAAATAAGAAAGGGTAGTTGTAACATTTCTGATACTATCAGAGTCAGGCTGCTTCTATATGAAAGTTGTTACATGCCTTGATGCAGTGTCAGAACTTCTTCCCTGATGAATGGATTAATAAAATGGATTTATATTTAGAAATGTTGATACGAAATTGTTTCTGAAAACTTAGAACTTATTAAACAAAATAGGACCAATCCTTGACATGATTGGATATTCAAATATACATATACTCAGTATTTTAACTTATTCGGCATTTTCAATTGTTTCATTTTAGCTGATCTTACAAATTTTTATAGACTAAGCATATATTTTTCTGAACACAAATATAGTATGTGGTGCACATTCAGATTTCTTGATATTCAGACTAAAACTAAATACTGATTTGTTATGTTGGCTAAAACTGTGATTACAACTAATCCTATTTTTGGTTTTTCTTTTCACCTAGAACTACAAATACAATTCCATAATCATGGGGTTTTTTTTCAAGAAAGGAAAGACATATAACATATTTTGTGATAATGAGGCTTGAAATAACTACTATTTCATTAATATTCTTATTTCAGAAGACTTGAGACAATTTCAGTCCTTAGCTTGACTGTATTTTCTTTCAGAAAAGCTAATGAAGTGAAGTCCTTGTTTAAATAGTGTAGGAGACAGTGTTTGAAGTAACTCTATTAATGCCTGTCAATCTCTTTGCTCACTGTTACAAAACAAACAGAAAGAGGTTGTACTTGGTACTTGAGATAATCGATAACTAATGTATAGGTCTTGACTTCAGACAAAATTATGTACAAAAAGAAGGAAAAGTAGGTAATTCATTCCCTTTTATCTGAATTCAATATATACATAGTTTGATTTTCATTCTTCTATAATACACAGTCTATTTAACAGGTGAAGTTCCTATTTTAATTCTATGTGATTAACTTTGAAATGAAAGTTTATTACGGTTATCATGCAACTTACTCCCAAGAAAATATACACAAATGTATACCCACATGCAGGTTTGTTTTGTATAGTTACACAGAAGTAAAGAGTCTACTTTCAACCCTTATTAGATATGTTGGATCATAGTTGGCATATTTTTAGATGCAGACTTATTTGTACTATTGTAATTTGGATTATTATAATCCATTCTATCTGAGGCTGCTTTGTAAACCACGTGGAAATAACACCATTGCAGCAGCTTGTATTATTATGGAATGGATCCATTGTGATTTGCTTATAAACTACACTGGTGCTAGAACTGCACTGATTACCAGTTTGCTTTGAAATAAATTCAAGGTACTTATTTCACTTTTAAATCCATGGCTATTGTAGTTTATGACCTACATATCTTTGGAATTGCTTTGTTCCAATTATTTATGCCCATACAAAATACCAGGTAAAAAAGGCTTCCTTAGAATCCCTTCACTTGGGACTTGAAGGTGGGACATTTCATGTGCTGATCCTGTTCTTTGAAACAGCATTCCTCCTAAGAATTGTACCTTGGGGTAGATGAGTTGATTGTGCCTTTCGTTTGAATTGGGTTTGTTTATTGGAATTATGAATTGTCTGTTACTTATTTTATTTTTATGTGTACTTTAAGCCTTATTGTATAGACTAGGGCAGTGATGGCGAACCTTTTCAGCACCAAGTGCCCAAACTGGAACGTGTGTGTGTGAGCGCACCAGAGCTCCGGAAACCTGAAGACCACCTGGCCAGTGCGCATGTGCATGCTGGCCAGCTAGTCTTTGGGTTTCTGGTTTTCCGGCATGCACAAAGACAAGCTGGCCAGTGCACTTGTGCATGCCGGAAACCAGAACAGCAACTGGCGACAGCAGGCATGCTCGCAGAAAGGCCTCTGCATGCCACTTCTGGCACGCATGCCATAGGTTCACCATCACGGGACTAGGCATCTAAGCCATTCAGAACTGATTATATTAGGCACAGAACCTGTAATTGGAATGTATACAGTTAGTCCTCAGCTTACAGCCATGCGTTCAAAGTTTTGATAGCCTTAGAAAGCATAACTAATGACTTGTACTTGCACTTCAAACAGTCAAACCAGCCCCACGATCACATGATTGTAATTGTGGTGCTTGGCAACTGACTCACATTTATGACAGATTGCAGCATCCTGTGGCCACTGATCACAGTTTGTAACTTTTTTTGCCAGCTTTCAGCAAAAAAAATGTTCATTTTTTGATTCACCTAATGACTATGTGATTCATTTAACAACACGATTCATTTAACGATCACCATAAAAATGATCAGAAAATCAGCTCCAACTTGATTTATGTTTCCAGTTATTTATGATGAAAATTCCAGTCCCAATTATGGAAATAAATTGAGGACTACTTGTCTTGATGTCTGGAGCTACTATAATAAAGACCAGATCCATCCAAAATCTTCTTTTAAAAAATAGTTGTTTTTGTTGCTAGAACTATTTTTATGATGGGGGTGTTCAGGTTGCATTGATGACCCTATTGTCATATAATATTTGGCATAAATCTGAGCCATTTCTAATAGAAAGTTAAAATATTCTTCCCTTCATATAACAGAAATGTAGTCATTTGCAATACAACAAGTTCATAGTGGTCTTAATAAAATCAACTATTTTGGAAATATGTATCTATGATTAATTTTTGACCCCCGTGTGTGCAGTATTAAAACTTGTATGCCATTTGACTCAGTGTCTCTTGGTGGCTCACAACAATAAAAAATTACAATCAAATCACTGAAATGTAAGAGATAAAAGAGATAAAAGAAAAAATATGGCATGCACAATGACGTCTTATTTTCTCTTTCCAAAGGCCTGGGTGAAGTGCCAGGTTCTCATGGCTGTTCTAAACAAATTGTTTCAGAGGGCAAGTGCTGCTATAGACAAGGCAGATTTCTAGATTTCTGGATAGATGGCATATTTAACTGAAGAAACCCGCAATACACCAATCCTGCAGAATCAAATTAGTCAAATTACCGTATTTTTCAGAGTATAAGATGCACTTTAGTTTTTGGACAGGAAAACAAGAAAAAAATATTTCTGCCTCTGCCTAGCAGTATCCATCAGTATTCATCTAGCTAGCGTCCTTGCTGCAGCAAACAGCCTGGTTAGCTTCAGCATGTTAGCGCAGCCTGATTTAGCACGAACAGCTGATTGGTGGATGGATCTGCCTCCCAGAATAGTGCCAATCAGCTGTTCCAGGCTGCGGGGATCGCCAGAGCCCGTTGCCGCCTCCGCATGTCATGTTTTTGGCCTCTGCGCATCACATTTTTGGCCTTCGCACACTCCGTTTTAGACCTGTTCTAGGCTGAGAGGATTGCCACAGCACGTTGCCGCCGATCACGTGGCCCTGCATCACGTTTTCGGCCTCCACACACCTGTTTTTGGCCTCAGCATGTCACATTTTCGGCCAGTTCCAGGTGGCGGGGATTGCCACCACAGCCAATCCCTGCTGCCTGGAGCTAGATGAAAATGTGACACACAGAGGCCAAAATGGGGCATGCGGAGGCCAAAAATGTGAT